TGTGTGTGTGTGTGTGTGTGTGTGTGTGTGTGTGTGTGTGTGTGTGTGTGTGTTGGGGATACACGGAAGAGGAATTTTAATATATGTATTCTTAAGTACTCATTTAGATTGGTGATACTAAATATACTCCATACTAAATATAAAATACAATCACAGTCTTGCTCAGTACGGGAGAGAGAGGTAAGAGATCATTTTGGAAAGCAAAAGAGCTCTTCTATATCCATTAGCTATTGGCCTTATAATTCTGTTCCTGGATTTATCTGTTTTTTTTTTTTTTTTTATGCTATTGCTCTTAGGTAGGCACAGCCAAACACCAAGGCAAAACCATTTTTCTAAAAGAATAATAGTTTTTCAAATCATGTGTCCCTTACTTCTGTGAGCCTTCAGTATAAATATATTGTGAGGTAAAATGTTACAATGACAGAGCAGCACTGGTCTGATTAGACGTGGCTGTTGACTTGATACCTGAAGCCGAGTCACAGGGAAGTCAAGCGACTGGTCCACATTCACAGTGTTTGTTAGAATACAATCCAGTACAAAACTAGGTCTCCTCAGCCTGACGATCACACACAATTGTGCAATATCTGTGAAAGGATATGTCCTTGCCTAGGAATGATGGCTTTCAGCCCCTGGGCCATGGGTTTCTCTAGTACTCTGAGTATGAAGGACTAACCACCAACCCATACTTGCCAAACAAACAAACAAACAAGCCCATGTGTTGTAAAGATCATCTAACTATTAAAAAGCCCTTATATGTGTTCTAGGAAATGTTTGCATGGTCTGTGAAAACACATCTTCTATGTTTTAAATGTCTAACATTTCCCTTTCTCCCTGTAACTGCTTGAGAATCAGGTCTGTTTGCACAGAGTGGAGATGCCCACTTGTGGATTTAAACCTAAGCTGTGTCCATAGCTCCCCCTTATGACCACTCCACAGTATAAACCTCCTTCTAGTTTTGCTGTTTTAGTCAACGAACAGCTCACTGGTTAAGTTTTAATTGCTTCCAATGAGGTCAGCAAAGGTATTTATTGAGAATCTCTGAATAAAAGGCTCCACGCACACACACAAGCGCACGCGCTCGCACACGGAGAAAATCCTTTTGCCTGTTGATTTATGGAAACAATTATGATTCTGCTGGAGGATTTCTCAGCTGAGAAGTAGTTTGTAGCTACAGAGAGGCTCAAGTTGCACGAGGCAGACAGCAGACACGGAACTCTTGTGTACCCAGCTGTTCTAAACAGAACAAGTAAGTTACTGTTATTTGTCTTTAAAACAATGCTGAATCTTTTTCTGAAAGGTTTTCTCTTTCTGTGGTTATTGTACTGAGGGGAAAGACTTTTGAGCTGTGTAAATATCTACAGAAATTGTGCTGTATGTAGTACGTGTGGAAAGAGACGCTTGAAGCTCTCCAGAGAAATCCTGACACTTAACTTGAAAAATCTGGGCACTTTAAGGGTAAATAAATTATTAAGCACAAACGTAAAGGCATATACTAATGAAATCCAGGGAGGCGTTTCTACTTTGTCGATAGTGGCTGTAAAACTTGACTTAAGCCAATAGCTCTAAGTACAGCATGTTTCTTAACAAGATAGCAACTGGAATGAATGGTGCAGTTTTATTGTGATGTCTCTCCGTAAACGCATAGCACTTCTGAATCTCCACGTAGAGTGGCGAAGATGCTCACCTCCTCTGTGGCAGCGTTTAACTGCATGCTGTGCCTTCAGCATTTAACTACACTGTATGCTAGGTTGTTGAGATTTTACCTACTGAAATTTACACCAGCAACTTTTTGTCTCCCTCTCTCCCCCCCTCCCCATTCCTCATCTCTCATTATGAGCAGAAATCAAGTAGCAAACAGCACTGCAGCAACTGGCCTTGGTTGCAACCTGTTTTTATACGGATCTATCAACTGTGTTACTGAGGAGGAACCCTGCTATTGGTATCAGAAGCTGAAAGATTAACAGGCTAACAGGTTGGAAAGATCAGCTGCTTTTTTCTCAAATCAATCTACAGTTCCCGGATAGGAGTAGCAATCAACTCAAGATTCGGTTCTCATTATGTTATTCATGAACACCCGGAGCACTACACTATAATGCGCAAATGGATACTGACATGGATCCTGCCAACTCTGCTCTACAGGTCATGCTTCCATCTCGTCTGTCTAGTGGGCACTATATCTTTAGCTTGCAATGACATGAGTCCAGAGCAAACGGCTCCGAATGTGAACTGTTCTAGCCCTGAGCGACACACACGAAGCTATGATTACATGGAAGGAGGGGATATAAGGGTGAGAAGACTGTTCTGTCGCACACAGTGGTATCTGAGGATTGACAAACGAGGCAAAGTGAAAGGGACCCAGGAGATGAAGAACAGTTACAGTAAGTGATGCCTTTACTCCAAGCCTGCTTAGATCTGCATGGTTTAAGGTTCCCTTTTTGGTCGCATGTTCTTCTTTTCTCTGGGGGATAAAAAAAATCACTGTAATATCAACTCCTGATTTTTTTCTCCACTGGGATTTCTGCACTAAGTCTCTAAAATATCTCTGGTAATAGGGCAAGTGTGCTCACCTTATGTCTGGAACTGATAGCACGAGCCAGTTGGAAAATACTCTACACTGTGGCTTAAATCCAAAATGTTCTTTAGTAAGAAAACATTTCAGTGAGAGTACTCACACTGACGTGGTTGTTTTCCTAGCAGAACTCAGTAGCTATTTGCATAAGTTCTCAGTAGGTGTTCCCCAAACCACCAGCCACGAGCCTGAGGAGCAGAGACTGTGTCTGTCTTTATTAATTGTGTTGCCTTTGAAAGGTCTGTGTCAGGGTACAGACTGGATAAGAATCTCCTTCCTGAGCACCATCAGCTGTGTGTGTCTGAAACACAAGGGAGGCTGCAATGCCCTCAGCCATCCTTAGCCTGAGGAGTTGGTGTTAGATCCCTTGATTCCCCACCTGACAGGTAACAGAGCTTTCTAACAGTTCCTTTGTCAAGAGTCTGTCATGTAAGTCCTATGCTGCCTTAAGAGAAACATAAGTATGAGGAAGTAGAAGTGAGCTGGAAGACAGATTATATCCAACACTTTTAACTGGAACACCCCACTTCCCCCTCAAGACCCTCTGCCTTAACATGTCAGGACCTGAGTTTTCATTTGATGATTACAATTCGTAACTAACTTCAGAGGTATTAAATTCAGTGGCATAAAACAAACACTTTACATTTACCTTAAGCATTTAAAACCCACAAATTAAAATAGCTTTGTTAGCATTGATAACATGGACGGCATTGAAATTGTGCGTTTGGTAATTCGTGTATACTTGAAAAAGGTTGCGTGGAGACAAGAGTGTGGCTGGGTATCTGTGACAGGACAGCTCAAGGTCTTTTTTTTTTTTTTTTTTAAATCTTTTCCTGAAATAGCTTCTAGTCTCTAAACTCACTAAACAACAAATAAGGGTTTGGTGAATGTTTCCAAAATGAAAATGGAGGACCCTTGTTTCAGCCTTAACTGATACAAACTGTGAGTAAAGAAACATGTCAGCTCTGGAAGACTAGTTCTGTAGAATTCACCTCAACAAATGGCCTCTGAGGAGCTTTCGCTGATAGCCACTCCTGTGTGGCCTTTTCCTTTGATATGAAAATCAGATAGAATCTGATACAGGTCCTAGGGACAGTTCCAGCACGTGTTCAGTCCTTGTCTATAAATGACTTGGAAAGCAATTCCTTCGTTTTTCCCAATGTTCAGCCTGTAAACAGGAATATGTTTTCCTCATTCTCACAGTCTATTGTGTTCTGAATCAGGGAATGCACTATATAATGTAAGGAAGCCCAAATACCCTTTACCTAATTGTCACCCAAAAAGTGAGATAAAGGTGCCCATTATCTCTTCATAGCAACCATGCAGCTGGGGCTAATTTCAAAATCTATAACAAGGTTGTTATTACAGCTCCATTGTAGATTTTCTCTACTTAATGACTAATCCCTTTGGATGCTTTTTACTAACTTACGAAAAGGTAAAAAATAATGGGAGCTAACACTCAGTGAAAATAAGTATGTATTATTATTTGAGATTAAAGTAATTACAAATGGAACACACACACACGCGCGTGCACACACACACACGCGCGTGCACACACACACACGTGAATTTTATTTTGTTTATGTTAAATTCCTGGAAATAATGAATTTAAGCTATTTGTACACATTTGCAAAGTGGTGAAATCACTTTATAATTTGAACATGGTTTAGTGCTAAACCCAAGTAGCTCTAGAGCCTGTTAGGCAAACCCCCTCTCCTCTAAAGCAAATAAGAAAGACAAAAGTCTCACCCTACATCATAATGTTGGAAGATCACAGAGACACTGTATTCAGAAGGACTTGACATAGCTTATGCAAATAACTTTCATTGACAAGCTTTTTAATAGTCATACAAGCTTCTTAACAGATTTATATGCTTTCTTGATATAGTAAAATCTCCCAGAGAGAGAAACTGCATCAGAATCTCTTAGACAAACTATAAAATGGTTGTCATTGTCCTACCATCCTATTGAAAAAGATAAGTGTCTCCAAAGTTAAGCAGATGTGAAGGTACTTTTGTGTGTAGGGAATCCCAAGAGATGGAAGAATAAAGGAGAATAATTCATTAGGAGAAAATTCTGATACGCATTGCCTGTCAGTTGAGACAGACTTGCTCCTTTTAAGAATGGACAGAAGCAAATGGACACATGTGAAGTTGAAGCTACTGAACTGGGAAATCCAGGTACGGACAGTGTGCCCAGCAGATTTGTTTACACTAACCAAACAGGATGAGAACTGCAATCACAAGAGCTGAGGGTGGTTTCGCAGTCCTCAGAGTTAGCACAGTGATCCAACAGAGGGGGTGCCCCTCCTGCCATCATTAGAGCGACAGCTAAAAGCAACTGGATTCAAATGAGCAGAATTCAGGAAGGAATAAAGCTCACCCTTAAACCCCCTGGTTCTGATGCTTCCACTTTTAAGCAGAAGTCCCACTTGAACTTCACTGGAGGCCCTTTATAATGGCATTGGTTTTCATTTTTTTTTTTTTCCGTCAGCCACTCTCACGGCTTTTGTTTGAGTGAAAGGAAACATGACCTGAGGATATGAATGAGACTTGGCAGGCTGCTTGCTTCCCCAGCGAAGCCTGGAACCCTGGGGTCCTACACATGCTAGGCACGCCTGCTACCCACTGAACCACATATTTACCTCTTGGGAATATGCTTTATAAAACACTCATAGATATGGACAGGCATTGTGGAAAGACGTGAAAGATCTGGGTGTGCAACCTTGCTTTCTGAGGTGTTGGGCTGGGAGGCTGAGGGGGCCCTGTGGGGCTGGTGGTGTGAGCATACGTCTCAGATCTTCAGGGGAATCAGAACATTACCTCAGGAACTTGCTTCAGTCTCCCCATGTTAGATGATCTCGTAGAAGACATCAAGTTTACACCAGAACAAGTAAATAAGCAAAACAAACATGTAAACAAACAAACCAAATCCTCCAAACAGTTCACCAAGAATGAACTGTATGGATTTGGGAATTCAGGAGGAACCAAGGGAAGTAGATCACAATTTCACTTTTTAGGGCAGTAAAAGGGAGAACAGCTCTCTCTCTCTCTCTCTCTCTCTCTCTCTCTCTCTCTCTCTCTCTCCTCTCTGTCCCCTCACTCAGCTCTACAGTAGGTTTCAAAATGACGAAGCTGGAATGTAACAAGAAGCGTAGAGGCACAAGAAATTCGCACAGGAGAGCATTGGTAAGTAGCATCATGGAGGGACAGGGAATGAATGGTCAATGCTTCGGGCGCATCTGTTGTCAGAACTGTCCCCTTGGAGACAAGGCCAGAGGCTGGATTTAGATGATTATTGGAGCAGACAGCTCATCAGCAGACAGAGGCAATCACTCCACACCTAACAAAAATAACAGTGCTGTTCAGTCGGGAGTTGAGGTGCTGAGTGAGAGATGGCAGCAGTGAGCTGCGTGCCCGACAACTGCTCTGAGAGACAGATGTGGGACGGAGGGCCTAGCTTCTCAAGATCATTTTCCTGCTTTGTTTGCATTCAGTACCTACAATATTGTGTTCCCAACAATAGCTAACACCACCCGTTCCTTTTGAGAACTCAGAGCCTCTGATCCAGGAGGCGACTCCTCTCTCCTGTAGAGTATTGTTGGCCATGTAGTAAGAAAGGGTTATTTATTCTGAAAGTTGGCCAATGGCTTGGCAACATGCTCTTTTGGATTGGTAGGCTGTGATGGGATGTGGCCTCACAATTGGCAGAACACAAATAAACACAGCATTGTTGGATTTGACTTTGGCCACAGCACCTTCAGAACTCAGTTGTCAACAACTCTTTGGATGGGTTCCTGTCTGTGCTAGTCTCTCTGTAACCCCCAAGGACACACAACAGCTTAGAAGGCTGAAGGTGTAAATGTGCTTGTGTCCCAAGAGTTCTTAGTAATTTCTTTAAAATAACAATCCACGCTATCAAAACAAACACAATTCTAACACCTGCCTTTTAAGAAAATATAAGGATCATGCCACACTTCCAACCATGGCGCGCATGTTCAAAACATGCTCCTAGACATGGCTGACAGGCTGGAATCTTCTAGAACTGGCAACAGGGACTCCTTAGTAAAGGAATTTCAAGTCTTGAAAATATGAAAGCTGGATAAATTGCTGAGGGGCAGATTTAGAAATGTTAGCTACTCTATGAAAACTCTGATATTAACATTGGTTTTTCCATGTTATAACCTTTATTTAGTTATTATAAGTTATTATAAGTATCTGAAACTCATTAAATGATAGTTACCTCACTAGCACAAGTATGTTCTTATAATGTCTCTTCACTTAAAATGACCAGTTGTTAATACTTATTTTTCTTAGTTTTAAGTGTGTGAGTGTGTGTGTGTGTGTGTGTGTGTGTGTGTGTATGTGTGTGTGTGTGCATGTTAGTAGAGATTTCTAGTGGAAGACACAGGTATAGATCCCCTGAAGCCAGACTTACAGGAGGGTTGTGAGTTGCCCAATATGGGTGCTAGGAATTGAACTCAGATCCTCTGCAAGAACAATATATGCTCTTAACCACGGAGCTATCTCTTCAGCCCTAAACTGACCATTTCTTCGTTACTGTAATTTCTGCATTAATCCAAATCAGATGGTCTTTTTCCTCTGGCTAAACTATTTAAGCTCTCTCTAGCCTATGGGGTAGGAGAACCAAAGGCGAGACTGGGCTGAGGGAGTGGAAGAAGGCAGATTGTAGACATGTGGAAGGAGCTGCTTTCTCTAGACTCTTTTCCCCCTTCTATTTCTCAATCTTGGCTGAGTATTGTATTCAGCTGGGACCTGTAAAAAATACTGATGCCAGATCCCATCCACA